CTTATATGACACTATTCTGCTTTTTTTTACTTATTGACTGCAGCTCAGAATTATGTACTTGATAAGGAGACCTGTAGCACTTGCTATCACTCCGTGCAGATTTCAGCAAGCCTGTGGCTGTGCACTGTTCTTGCACTTACAAGTCAAAGCTTAAAACAATCACCTATTCACAAGCAAGAACCACAYGTGAAGGGAGGGAGGCAGGAGAGGGTTATGAACATAGAAATAGCAAATACCTCATTCACAAAAGCAGATCTGACTTTACGTCCAAACCCTAGAGCCACATTCATTAAGTTACTTTCTAGCATGCACACAGATCTTCGTACAAAGGATCTTAAAAAATAAATTTTATTATCAAACTTAAAATTCACACATTAAACATACAATCTAGACACAAATAATACTGAAAACATTCTCAAAAAATAACCATTTCAGGTAATTTGGATGAATAGCTAGTTACCATTTTTTTGAATGCTTTTCAAATATTTATTAATACATACACCATCCTGAAATGTCTTCAAATGCTGGCCAGCTTTCAATGATATTTTTAAATAGGGGAAAACTTATTTCTATAGAAATAATATTATCTAATTATGAATCAGAGACTCATAATTGTAGTGCTTGGGGGGGAAAATATCATAGCCTCTTGAAATATTTAGAAGACATAAATAACTATTGTACATTTACAAGTTTTAAATATTTAAAGGCCTTTGTTACTATAAAAAGTTACTATGTACATATTAAATGCTATATCAGAATCCAGTCAGAGGTGAGTGTTGAGCTCTCAGATTTGGCCGCTGAAACCTATGAATTTGGTAGGCAGGTTGTCCACAGGGTACACTATGGGCCCCGTTTTCATTGTAGGAGGTCCATTCAGCAGCTGCCAGTCACAGCTCCGAGCCAACTCCACTGTAAATATTTTTAGAAGGACTTTTGCAAACTCTTTGCCCACGCAGCTCCTCAAGCCCCCACCAAAAGGAATGAAACTGAACCTAGAGGAATCCTCTGGAGATGGAGACATGAAGCGATCTGGGTTAAATTCTTCTTTGTTGGTAAAGAGATCTGCCACATCGTGTGTATCACAGATGCTGTAAATAACATTCCAACCTTTAGGGATCTGGTAACCCTGTAAAAAGAAGAGAAAGGAGACATGGAGCACCTTGCTGTGCTAAATAATGTGAAGTGACAGCACAGGACACATCAGTGCACCCCAGTGCACACATCAGTGCACCCCACCTCCCCTCCTGGCTTCCTGCAGGTCACTGTAAGGCAGACAGGTTACATGAACACACAATACTTCACAGCTGCTCTGAGGAGYTGTGCCCAAGCCTCACTTACGTTTAGCTCAAGGGTTTTGAGTGCTATTCGAAATCCTCCAGGAACAGGCGGGCTCAGTCTGAGGGTCTCTTTGATGACACAGCCTGTGTACTTCAGCTGCTCCAAGATCTCCATGTCCAGCTGCTTCTCTTGGTTGGTACTGCACAGTAACCCCTAGAAAGGAAAATGCTGCCATGATATTCATGAAGAAAACAGCCAGGGCTCCTGGCACTGCAAAGCAGCTGCCCCTCAAAAAGCGGTATTTTCCTGCCACCCCTAAAAGTAGGGCACCACCGGGGTCAAAGAGAGCTCTGTCTGGGATACTTGTCCTGGAGGTACCTTCCTCCCACTGCCCCCTCCTKTGGAATGGCTCTGGGGACGACACACACCTTCACCTGCAGTTCTTTCCTCACTTTCTGCAGGACTTCATGGTGGAGGCCTAGGAAGGCAATCAGCGATGTGGCAGCACTGGCAGTGGTTTCATGGCCCCCGAACAGCAGCTCTGTGGCAGACTCCTTTAGCTCCTTATACAAAGGATAGAAGAGGGATCAGCGAGGCCTTGACCACAGCATCTCTACCAGGCCCATTCTACCATGCAATGCTGTACATTGTTCCCAAACTGGAGCAGATACCCAGGGGCCAGGATGTGGGTGGTCAGTGGAGCTTATGCTCCCTGTGGACATGTCTCCACATCCAACAGCCTGACTGCAGCCTTTGCACCCCAATGCTCAACACAAGCTGGTTATTTCATGAGGACAGAGAGAGAACCTCCTGCTTTCTCCTTTTGTCCCCACAAGGTAAGTGKGATGCTCTCAGAGGGACTGGGGGAAAGGCATGAATCCAGCAGTGAGGAACCTTACCTGCATGTTGAGCTGTTCCCCGTTACCCTGTGTGTGTTCCATCAGCAGCTGCAGCGCGTCCTTGTAGCCGCCCTCAGGCTCCTTGCGGGCCATCTTGGCACGGATATTCTCCTCGATCTTGGCATGGATGATGTTGCGTGCCCGCAAGCCCTGACCGAGCAGCAGAGAGAGCAATGTGGGTGTTAGGCTGTACCGCCATCCCTCCCCGCCGATTCCCCCCTGCCCTGGCCGCACGGGCACCGCTCTCCTCCTGGCCCGCCGTGAGCCTTACCCGGTAGAGGCCGCTGAACGGCACATCGATGGGCAGGGAGAAGAGGTTGCGGATCATCTCCTCGAAGGCCTCCACCAGCTGCTGCTCGCCGTCGGGGCTGGCCTGGCGGGGCTGGAAGCCCAGCAGGATTCTCATAGCGATGCGAAACATGAGGCGCTTCACCTCGGGGTACACGAGCAGGCAGGGCCCGGCAGCGCCCAGCCACCGCGCCAGGCAGGCGCTCACCTCCTCCTGGATGACGGGCACGTAGTGCTGCAGGGCGTCCCGGGAGAAGGCGCGCATGATCACCTGCCCGGGGGGACGAGGAGCAATGCGACACGGGCTCAGCCGCCGCGCCCGGGGCGACCGCGCCCGCTCCTCGCCCGCCGCCGGGCCGTACCTTTTTGCGGTGCTTGTGCTGCCCGTTGTGGAGGTTGGAGAGGCAGCCCGAGCCCAGGATGGTCCGCACCGAGGCGGGCCACTGCACGGACACGAGCCGGTGCTCGCCCAGCAGGATGTGCCGCACGTTCTCGGCGCCCATCACCCGTACCGTGGGCCGCCCGAAGAGGTGAGTCTTGTAGATGAAGCCGTATTTCCTGCGTTTCATCTGCAGGAATTTCCGCCTCTAGACAGAGGATGAGAGAGGGAAAATAATAAATTAATTTTAGAAATGATAAGAGGAAGAGGCAGGGAGAGCAGCTCTTTCCCACCTGGGCACGGGAGCCTGTCAAAGTTGCCGCTCATCTCCCTCCCCTGCAGCCAGAGGAGCAGCCGGGGCGCCTCTCCGCTCCCCGCGCCATCGCCTCGCCTTACCTGCAGCACCAGCTGCAGCGTCTCCCCGAAGAAGGGGAGCCCCATGGTGCCCGGGGGCAGTGGGAGCGGGCAGCTGGGGTCGCGGCTGCTCACGCAGTACAGGTCCCAGAGCTTGACGGCGGCCAGAAAGAGCAGCAGGGGCAGGAGGAAGGTGCACAGGGTGCTGGCGACTAGGGCGGAGAAGCCCATGACTGGGGAGCGACTCCCGCCCGGCCCCCCGGGAGCTCTGAGTGCGCGGGCCGGGCTCGCCGCGGGCCGCCTTTTATACCCTTCCCAGGTTGCTGCCCACCCCTACCTTGGTCCGATAAATTAGTTCACCCAAAGTTCATCTTTAATTGCGGATTGCTGCCTGACTCCTCCCCCCGAAATCTTTAACTATTTGCTTTGCGTAGTGCATCCTACTCCCCACAGACCGCTGCCGGGGAAGGAAAGGTGCTGTCGGGGGCGGCGGCAGCGGCTCCGGGCTCGCTGACCCTGTACCGCGTTCGGCGAGTGGGCTGCGGAACGCCGCCGACAGCTGACAGCCGGTGGTCGGCCGCTGCCGCCTCCTCCTCCTCGGATTTATCGCCAATGCTCGTTAAGAGACCAGCGGCTACACCGAGAAACTCCCGCGCAGGCACCCGGCGGCCCGGCCGCCCAGAGACACCTACCCCGGAGCGCTGCCGGCCGGCGCCGATGCGCTCTGCGGAGCTCCTTCGCCCGCCCGCCGCCGTCGCCGGCTGGGAAYGGCGAGGGAGCGGCCAGACCCACGCCGGACCGGGCCCGCGGCGCGGCCGGAGCCGACGGTACCCCGTGCTGGGGCAGCCCGGAGACCCCCTGAGCAGAGCCGCAGATGTGCCGGCGTATCGGCAGAGGAGCCTCCGYTGTCCCCTGGTTCACCTCGAAAGGCACGACTTGTATTTCTGCCGGCCGCGGAGGAAGGAGCCGCCGGCAGCRGTCCGTCTCAGCCTCCCGAAGCAGGTTCAAGCACGGGTCACCAAGGGGAAAGGAGGTGAGCGCGGAAAGTAAACACCACACCCGCCGTGCCCAGCTCCTCTCCCCGAGATCCACTGCCCACCCTCGCCTGAGGCTCTCCGGCATCCCGTCGGGGCTGCCGCGGTCGGGAAGAGGCGCTCGGCAGGGCCGGGCTCRCCGCCTGCAGCCGCGGCGCAGAGGGGCTCCGTGCCGGCGCCGGCGGGCGGGCACTGGCGCTGCTCTCCCCGGGCAGGAGGAGCGCGGCGGGAGCGGGGCTGCGGGAGGGCTGCGGCTGCCGCTGGGTCCCGGCGCAGGAGCCGCCGGCTGCTGGGGAAGGGGCGCCCGGCGCGGACCGCGGCCGCGGGGCCGTGGAGCTCTCCGCCGGTCACGGCTGCTCCCAACACACTTTTTTTTTTCGGAGYTTTTATCTCTTCTCTCCCTGTTACTTTTGCTTTCTTGTTCTCAGACAGGGTCAATAAACGCTGGAAGTTTTGTGTGTGTGTTTGTRTAGGGGTGAGGGAAATGTCACTTTTAATTATTATTTTTCTAACAATCAACGCATCATACGAGACCCGCCCTCCTCTTACGATGCCTTGCTGGAGCCTTGCTGCCCGCCTCCGCAGCCTCCTGCCCAGGAGGGACCCCCCCTTGAGGGTACTCCCCCGGCCCGGGAAGCCATAGCCCCTCGGGGTTCGCCGCGGGCCCGGGCGGCTCTGCGGGGCCCGGCCGGCGCTGGCCGGGAGCGGCGGCCGCGCCCTGACCCGGCGCTCTCCCCTTGCCGGGCGCTGACCTGCTTGTGACCTACAACACGGACCGTGACATCTGCGTGAACCCGGCCGGCAACCGCGCCAAGTTCACTGTCTATCAAAATAACGAGATACGGTGGCCTGAGCACCGATAATTGCCACAGGAAGGCTTTATTATCTCCCCAGCTGTGTATTCCCCAGCCATCGGCTTGAAAAGAATCAAATGGTAAAGAGTGAAAGGGATAATTAAAAACATCTTGGAAGGGGGTCAAGAAATTAACAGCCTAATATGAACAAACTTTGATTACAAGTAACAATTATTACACTTCATTTGTAAATGCTCGTGTTTATCTGCAAACAAAATCAGTTTCAAGACTTTTTTTTTTTTTAAACTAGATTCATGTTACATTTTTCAGCGTGCTCGTTAGCGCTCAGGGTAATTTTTAAGTGCGCTGCTGGAGCAGCAGCGGGTGCTAGATGCTGCAGGCCCAGCCCTGCCCAAGCCCTGCCGGTGGTGGGACCCTGAATCGCCTGCGGTCTCAGCCAGCCAGTAGCTCTTGCTAATTAAACTTAGTCATTGCCACTTGCAGCCACCATCTACTGATTTCACCTCTGATAGGCAAAAAGATTCACCTTTCAGGACAAGGTCAGGAGGGCCAGAGGCTCTGGTTCACTACAGGGTCGACTTGCCAATAGCACTTAACTCAGACCTGCAATTCAACCTCTTCCAGATTTGACCTGTCACGTTTGGGAGCCAGGTTTCTGCCCGAGGTAGCGTGGTGGTCACTGCACAGCCCTCAGACAGCTAACCTGGCACATGCCCTGCTGCAGTGTCCCAGCACGGACAGGCGAGGGGGATTGGCCAGGGCAAGGTCATCTGTAGCACTGAAGCAGGATGATGACAGAGTTTCAGGAGATCGGAGAGCTCCCCAGAGCCTTTTCAAAGAGACACTGTCTTCATGCCATGTTTTGGCCCTCACAGGTCAAGTTGGTTCTTCACACAGAACACACTCCACCACCAGGCATGGTTCTGGAGAAATGAGCATTATTTTCCCACTRCATTCACACAGGATGCATGACAGTGGGGAGTAGAAGTGAAGYTGAAATAAACTTATAAACACGTTGTGGATCAAGGACCTAGACTCAGCTCTGTTCTCAGAGGTACACAAACAGGTACACAAACAACAGGACTCAATTTTATTTTACTTGGGAGAGAAATACCCTGTGGGAGTACTCAAAAGCCACCTAAAAAGGTGCCYGAAGCTTAGCCTCAGGTACCACCCCCAGATGGGCCCGTGGAACTGCAGTCCTGATTGGCTCTTTCCCTGGCAGAGCTGGGCTGACAGAAGTGACACAGTCTTGCCAGCCAGCCAGCTACCATGGGGCCTTTGTCACTGCAAATGTCCCCTCTGCAATGTGAACAGCATCATCAGGAACAAGGGACTTTCTACAACAAATCAGACATATTCAGAAATGTCARTTTTCTAGACATTTGCTCTCCAAAGCCCCCTCCCCTGCTTCAGTCCAATCCTGTGGACAAGCTGTGGCTGGGTAGCATAACCTGCAGGGAACCCAGAGCGGGCTCTGTGGCAGAGCCCAAGCAGCAGCACAGTGCTCAAGCACAACATACACAGCTACTACTACTGACTGAATGAGATACTCTCTTTGTGCCAGCTCTAATGGGAAGTGCATGAATGAGATTAAATATTTACAATAAAAACCACTTTACACCCTATTATTCTAGCTAGAGTTGATGCCGTGGATTGGGCAGTGTGGCTTGTGTTTTCCTGCAGAGTCTCCCATCTTCYCTCTTTTTGCATCTAAAAAGCTACAGCGTGCAGGATGTTCCTCCTGCCTCTCCTATAACACACCTACAGGAGATAGCCCTGGGAGCCTTACTGTGGGTCTGGGAGTTTTGCTCCCCATCCCTGGTAGCTGGGATATTTACACCCTGCCAGCAGTTTCAGTGGGTTTTGCCCCCAGGCTGGGGCTGAGGTTCACCCCAGTGCACAGGAGTGGGGCTCTGCAACACACMCTACTGCTGTACCCTGCACACGCTACCAGCCCACACACCAGGAGGGGAAAAACAGAAAGACCTTTAGGGTTTTGTTGTGACCCAGTAGCTTACCCAGCCTGGGGCAGCAGAGACCTGCTCCCGGCAGCTGTGGAGGGGCATCAGCTCCAGGGCTGAGGGAACAACATACCCCTGGCTCAGGCCTCACGGCCATGGCTGGGCTGCAGGGGGTGGAAGTAGAGCTGCAGCCCATCATCGACAGGGTGCACAATGGGCACGGTCTGCATGCTGGGGTAGCCAGGGGTGGCCAGCTCCCAGCGGGCCGTGCTGACCAGCTCAATGGCCAGCAGCTTGAGGATGGCCTGTGCCAGCTCCTTCCCAATGCAGCTCCGTGCTCCACCGCCAAAGGGGATGTAGTGGAACCGGCCCGCAGCCTCCGGCCGGCCGGCACTGAAGCGGTCTGGGTCAAAGCTGCTGGGGGAGGTCTGGTAGACAGCAGCTGTCTCATGTGTGTCACGGATGCTGTACATGACGCTCCAGCCTTTGGGGATCTGGTAGCCCTGGCAAGAGGAGAAAAGAGGCAGGAGAGGAGTGTTACATACCTGTGCTACTGGAGGGTGAGCAGAGGGTGCCTGGAGACAGCTCCAGCACACTGCCCACCTGCTTTGCAGCTCCTTTTCTCCCCAGCCCAAGTGGGACCCATAGAGGTTGCTAGGTGACACTTGCCCTCGAGCTACACTGCCAAGCACCACCACTGTGCAGGACAGCGGCAGGCTGCAGCTCTCTAGCAGCCTGTCAGAGTGCAAGGCACTTACATCAAGCTCAAAAGTCTGCAGTGCCGTCCTGTAGCCTCCGGAGACTGGGGGCAGCACCCGCAGCACCTCCTTAATCACGCAGTCCAGGTAGCGCAGGCGGCTCAGCTTCTCCAGGCTGATGTCTGAGGCRCAGTGACAGCTTTGCCCTGATGGTGCTGGGAGCTGGAGGCCAGTGCAGGGGCTGCTCGGGGCCACAGTGGGTTCCAGCAGGGCACTGGGCTCGAGGGAATCTTCCTCCACTGCGGGCTGGCTCTGGTCCTTGTGAACGTCTTTGGCCACAGAGTGGAAAARTGGTTTCTCTCTGTCCCTGCTCTGGATGCTCAGGGTGTCCAGGCAGGGTCCTGCAGGGCAGCACTTACACTGCTGGTACAACTCATGGGACATCAGCTCCTGCCTTATTTTTTCAATCACTGAGGGRTGCTTCAGTAGCAGGAGGATCAGAGAGGTGCTAGCACTAGCCGTGGTGAAAAAAGCAGCAAATATGAGCTCAATTGCTGATTCCTGGGAGAGGAATGAAAATGACAAGTTTGAATAACATTTTAAAGTATTGTGTTTCAAACTGTTCTCACCTTTTGCAGGTTTTGCCCTTGTGCAGAGGGCCCTGGCCCCGACTCTGCTCTCCACAATCCTGCACTCATCCTGGGTTGGCAGGGACCAAAGTATTTCTGTATTAACTGGACATCCATTTGCCAAGTGACTGATGTGGAACCACAGCTGGGATGAATACTTATCACCTCCAATCCAGCTCCTCTGAGCTTTCCTCACAAGCTTTACCAATTTTAAAGCAGCACTTCAACATGCATTATAGCACATTGAGTGAAATCCATTTCAGGCTTTTTATCCTCATYTGCCAATTCCCCTTTGTACCCAGCTTTTACTTTTCTGCCCAGACAGTGGATATGGGTGTGTTTGTGCACAAAATCTAGATGTGCTGGCAGCTAAAATGGGTTACATTTGATTCGTCTCCAGTTATGATTGCTCTTATCTGGGAGGGGACTCAAGCCAAAAGTCAAAAGCATTAAAGGCCTCTCTGCTAGATAGCCTGGGAAGTGCTGCAGCCAGCAGGGAGCACACACCAGGCAAAGGACTTGTTCGCTTTTCAAGTTTTACAGTTGGAAGCACAGCAGTGTTCCCAACAGCTCCACAGCAGATGTATCCATAGTAAGTCAGGAAGTTAACCAGCTCAGATATAAATGGAGCACTGCACAGTCAAATCTGTAATATGTGCCTTGTCCAAGTTCAGGGGTTCCCTTGAAGCCTCCCAGCCTTTGTGGGACTGTCTGCAAGGTCTATATGGCACAGCACATGCCACATTGCCRTGGGCTGTGTGCAGCACCCTCTGATCAACTTTTGCAAATAATTTTCCCAAAGTTAAGGGTTACCCAGAGCTGGCTTAGGGCATGTCACATCTCTGACAGCAAGTGTAATGCTCAAACCTACATCACCATCTGAAKATGCCAGTGGCTCCATAGTGCAGGGCTGGGAGTGCTGAGGCCAGAGACAAATGCCATGGAGTAGCTGAAGGGATGAGTACCACGAGCAGTCCCCTGGGAGGGCTGGGACCTGACTGTTACTACAGAGCACTAATTGCTCCAGCCCAGGGGCAAAGGGGAGCAAAATCCCTCAGGGACACAGAGCAGTTTCCTTTCACATGACTGTGTCTGGGCTTTAAATTGTTCTGACATAACCATGAAGCCACAAACACAGACAAGAACACTTGAAGACCAAAGACACTTGGATTAAAGTCTGATAAAGTCAAGGATAATGTAACAAGGATTACTCTTTGCTACCATCTCCAGTGCCCCATATTGGCTGGACTAAATGCTTTTGCCAAAGTGCAGCTCTCAAGGGCATCTTTCAGTTGAAATAAAACCCCTGGAACAACAGATCCCTGTCAACCCCTATCACACCTCCTGCAGGCATTAGCAGGAATTTTTGCATTCACAAGGTAGCAGATCCAGATGAAAAGAAACTTCTCAGTTCCACCACATGCACTTAAACCCCAAGACATTTCAGTAGCATGCAAGGAATTTAGGGCAAGCTCTTAGATTTGAAATAACAGTCCTTATGCTCTTTGCTTCAACCTCTGACAGTGCTGCTGCAGAAGTTGTGTCACAGCTGCTGTCACAACTTTCCCACCCTGTTTCTATGAGGCCAACAGAACCAGTGACTGGAAGGCAGCATATTCCAAAACTCCACCAGTACTGTCCCTGTGCTACAGCCCAGTTCCCTTGTCCTGTGAGGCAGAACAGGCAGCATTACATCCAACCCATGACAGCATTATTATGTAGGATGGGTTTTTATTTTTTTTAGTCTTCAAAGGTTTTAAATATTTTAAAACAGTACGGTTGGCAAAGCAGTATCTTTTTTATGACCTTTATATTTCAAGGTCCTGGTGAGTTCATGGTAGCAGTACAAATCAGTGTATTTTGGAAAAATTCGGGGAAAATTGTCTTTCCAGATAATTTGAACAAAAAGCAGATTATTAACTAGTATGTGCTAGTGTCTGGAGGGTCTCTCAWAGACAGATATATCCACAACTCTGAACATTTTGTCCAATTACACTACTTCMTTAAACAAGAGCTCTACTACCGTTTTATGAGGGTGGCGAATATTGCCATAATTGCAAGCATAGGCAATTCAGTTTACAAGTAATTCTGTTAAATACTGAAATTTTCTAAACATAAAGGTAGAGAACAGCATATGAATACATGAATGAATATGTTATGATTTGAATCAGTTGGCCCAAGGTTGCTGCCATGTCACTCACTCCATGTTATATTTAATCTCCCCTTATTCCATTTGTGGTCAGAGCCAGGGACATGATGAGAGATTATGACATTATTCTTGCATTATATTCATGTGAATACTAAAGGAAATTAATTATTCTTAATCAATCACATTTTGAATCTGTCAATTAATTTTTAAAAATACTTACAATAAAACATTATATATAATAAAACATTATGATAAAACATTATAAAACATTAGTATTTGGATAATTTTTCTGAAATACTTAAATGAACAGTAAAAGTACCTTTAAACTATGTCCAAATAATTTTAAACTATATTGAGCTCCTGTTCCCACACAAAACTCTTTCAAAACTTGTTATATAAATGCAATGTCATCTATTGTTCACTGATACCTAGTGACCTGGAACTATGATGCCGTACTAAGAACAATTTTTTCCCAAGATCTTTKGCAAAATACTCTTCACATTCACTTGGTGGTTTTGGCTCAGTAAGAATTATTGGGTTCATCCCTAAATCATAGCCATACATCATATTCCATCATAGCAATCCACAAGCTACATGGTCTGACTAATGAGGAGGTGATAGGGAATGACCCAGAATCCATAGTTCCACCCCTAGACCCAGTCTGATATATCATCTCAGAGATTTCTGGACTCACAGCCCTGAGGAGTCCTTTGACATGATCCACATCCTGCCCTGGGATGGGTGCTGGGCTCTGTTTGAGGAGCACACAAGTAGCTCTGTTTCMAAGAGTGTCCAGGAGGTCACAGACTGAACAGATGGGCAGAGCCTTAGCGCAGCCACATAAACCCTACCAGCATCCTACATCAGGCTGAAGGCTGATGGCCATGAAGATGAAAGGTAGAAGGGGCATTTAATCCCTTTTAAAAGTGTGCCTTGTAATGCAAAGAGACACAAGACCACAGGAGCATGAGTGTGCCGAGTCTCCCTCGCTTTGTGCAGAAGCTGGTGTCATCACTGCTGCTAAGAGGAGGGCAGGAGACAGCAGCTGGTGGTGAGTGCCCACTCAAGCCTCCTCCTGACCCTCAGTCCACGTCTCTCAGTCACTGAGTTGGGAGGGGCACTGCAAGCTAGAGGATCTCCTTACCTTTAGCTCCTGCATGGTGAATTCTTTGCCATGCTCCTTGGCACTGTTCATTATGAAATCCAGRGCATCGCTGTGGTCTTCTGGGTTGTTTCTCTGCAGTTTTTCCTGTATAGCCTTCTCCATAAACTTATGTAGCATGTCCCGTGCTTTGATTCCCTGCGAGAGGCAGATACAGTTCAGGAGAACCTTAGGAACTGGCCCCCTCTCCAGATAGACTGGGGAACCCAAGTGTAGCAATCCCAGGACCTGTAACAGCAAGAACTGTTTAATCTGTTGCCCAGCCCCAGAGCCTTGCAAGAGGCAGCAGTTTGGGGGGAAATGCTGCACATTCTGTTGCCTTGCTGTTGTGAATCAAATGCAACAATTCCCAAGAAACTCTCTGGGAGGAAAAGACAGCAGTAAACTCATGCTACCAAGTTCAGAGGCATCTGCACTGAGCAAACCCACAGYTGTCAGGTCCGAAAGAAGCAAGGATCAAGAAGAAGTGACTTAATAAAACTGAGTCCAGACAGCAAGGGACGAATGGTTTTACAAGGGTATAGAGGATAAAGACACATTAATCACAGCCAGCTCATCTTCAGTGTGTTGCACTCCAGTGCAGCAAAACATTCATGTAAGATCTCAGCAAGTCATTCATGTAAGATCCGCAATCTCTTTGCAAAGTGGGACAGATGGAATCACAGGATATTCGATTTTCTACAAAAATGCAAAAGCCAGAAGGACCAGAGATTTGAAATTTAAAATGGCCATAACCAGATGTTGGGAAGAAGATGCAAAGGCTTAGATTTGAGGTGGGAAGGATTGGACAAAGTAAACAGGGTGGAGAGTGAGGAGACAAGGCAAGTTGAATATGTCAGTCTTTGGCTGACCTGAGAGAGGGTAGGGATGGATAGGCCAGAAGCAGTGAAAGCTCACACTGGTAACAACCTGCAAAGGGAAACTGGACAGGGAAAACAAGAGCTTTGATGAAGAGTAGCAGGGAGGCTGAGGGAGAACTGGGACAGGCTGGGTAGATCCAGTGGAAGAGAGCTCACAGTGGAAATTAGAGATGAGGGAAGACCTGGCTAAAGCGGACAGGAGACTTCAGCTATGGCAAGGGTGGAGAACCCGAAGCCAGAGGAGGGAGAAATGCGAGAAGAGGAACAGTACACAGGACCTATACCTAGAGGAGTGTGGAGAGACAGGCAAAGAGGGACAAAACAGCAGGGAAGAAACTGCAGGTTGAAAGAGGAAGAGGTGACTGTCCTTCTCTGTGGGCTGTCTCTGTGCTGCTGGATCAAGTACCATAAGAGGGTCYTAAGTCCTCAGCCTGCCTGAGCTGCACAGGAGGTGCTAACCTGAGGTGCGCTGTGCCCACCTGTCTTTGTGCGTATGACACAGACCTCTCTGCCATGAGCTGACATGAGTCCATGTGGGATGAGACGGGATAGGCGCAGACATGATGGACTCACCACAGACAACATATGGGATGAGGGAGAAGAGGAGCCCAGTGCTGTACAGTGAGTTGGAGCCGCTGTCCAGAGGCACTGGAAGCCAACCAGGAGCAGTTGAGAAGTGCAGAGAGAAGGGGAAATGGCAATGGTAGGTAAGATACCAAACCCTCAGACCTAGAATGGAGGCTGCAGATGTCCTGGCCCATCAGAAGTGCCCCTTGGTGGGCCTAGGGACAGGGGGTCTGTGCTGCCAGGGCCCGGGCCCTGCCCCCAGGCAGAGGAAGCAKAGCAGGCGGCAGTACCTTGCGCAGCCCACTGAAGGGTATGTTGAGGGGCAGGGAGAAGAGGTTCTCCACCAGCTGTTCAAAAGTTTTGGCCAGCTCCTTGAACTGCTTTTCCTCCAGGCGGAGCCCCAGCAGAATCCGAGCTGCAATGCGGAAAGTTAAGGTTTTAGCGGAAGAATAAACTGCGATGGAGCCTGGCTCCATGCACCAGCCCYGCAGCTCCCAGCTCACAACCTTCTGGATCCGCGGCAGGTAGCTCTCCAGGGCGGTGCGGCTGAAGACTCTGGCCAGGATCTAGGAGGAAAAGGGGGGAAGAGAGGCAGGTAGTTAAAGCAGGGGGAGCACACATGCCACGGAGGCCCAGGCCTGGGCAAGAGGTGCCGCCTGAGCCGTGTGCCCTGCCAGAGTGGCTGCGAGGCTCACCTTGCGGCGCTGGCGGTGCAGGTCACCGATGGAGCTGAGCAGAGTATGGGAGCCCAGGATGATGTGGGTGCTTTGAGGCCACTGTGCGCTGACCAGAGTGTGCTCGCCCAGCAGGATCTTGCGGATGTTCTCAGCGCCTGTCACCCGCACCACCGGCCGGCCCAGAAGGTGGGTCTTGAAGATGTTTCCGTACCTCTCCCGCCGGGAACTGTGGAAGCGGGAGCCCTGGGGACGAACTGTGGGTCAGCCCGTGGCTCCCGCCAGCCCCTTCCCACCCCGTCCCGTCCCCCGGCGCCTCACCTGGAGCAGCCAGTGTAGGGTCTCCCCGAAGAATGGCCAGCCCATGGAGCCCTTGGGCAGGGGCAGGGCGCTGGCGCGGTCCCGGCTGAGGCTCCAGCGCAGCGCCCACAGGTGCCGGCACAGGACGACCAGCAGAGCCGGGACCAGCAGCGCCAGCGCCGCCGCCTCAGGCCAGGAGAGCCCGGCCGGCATCCTCCTCCGGCGGCGGGGACGGGGCGGCGGCGGCTGTCAGGCACGGGGGCCGGCGCCCCGCGATTCGGCTATGGGCGCTGCGCGGCGGGCCCTGCCGGCTGCTGCCCGCCCGGCCCCGCTCGCCTCCTGCTGCCGGTTCGCCCCTCGGCCACATTTATATAGATATTGGCCACTTACGCCCGATCCACCTTCGGAGATGACGTATCCGCTGCATATTTAAGCAGCGCGGCCAAGTGCGGTGATTGGCGCGGGAGGGCCGAGGACAGCGGCCGAGGGGCTCGGGGCCGCGGTGGGGCAGCCCCCCGGGACTGGGGGCCCGGCATCCCGCTCCCGCCCCCGCCCAGCCCCTCGGGGCGCCGCAGCCGGGGCGGGACGGCGGTCCCTGGGAGCGGGGCACCCCCTCCGCCCTGCCGGSAGCTCCCGCCGCCCCCTCGGGCCAGCCTTCCCAGGTAGAGAGTCCCGTCCCGGGCTACCCCGACCGGGGAGCGCCCCAGCCCCGCTCCGCAGGCCCCACCGCCCCCGGCTTCCCGGACTGCAGCGGCAGTCGGGCCGATCCTGCAGCGCTCCCGGCGCTCACCCCACCGTCGGGGCCGCTCAGACCCCCGACCGCCTTCCCCGCGGGTAAATCACCRATGAGTCGGGACCCGCACAGGTCCCGCGAAACCGGCTCCGAGGCGTGTTCCGGTGTGTGAAATTAAACAGCAATACGGGTGAGGTTTATATTACTGTATTTAGACCGTCAATAACTTAAAAATACAGCGAAAATGTACATTATTTTTACACGTTCCATTTGGTTTGTATTTGTTAGACATTCTCTTAGTGTCTAAAATAGCCATGAGGAGACAGTGCAAAGAGACCGGTAGTGGGACAAAATGCTAATCGCTGGGACGGGGCTGGCGGGAGAAAGCGCAAACTAACAAACAGATGCGGCACGAAACCAACAGCGGCAAATCTATTCCTTACTGCAACCTAGGATAAAGGACCCGAGATCTTACAAAAGTACAGTTAGAAATAGTAACCCTGAGGAACAAAACCAAAACGAAACAAAATGTCACATTATAAAGAACTCAGATTGTTATTTACATTCACAACCTCAAGATTAAACCCTTTTGGAGAACAAAGCCTATAATTCCTAATGCTAAATAGATATCAAGTCTAGCTCTCAGGTAGTTTGCAAAGGTACTAAAAATCAGAAGACTTTTTCATACCTCCAGACTACAAAACCTGGTATACAAAATTATGTCCAATCACTTTAAGGCTAATATACATTTAATGCAGGAAAACAACAGGCAGTATCTGAAACGCAAATACCTTAATGCTTAACAACATTAAATTAGAATTAAACCAGAAAACAGCAACTAAGGGATCATTTCTCAAATATTTCCTACTCAGAGCAAAATTTTGGACACCATTTCTGCAGATATTTAAATAACATATTTACAGTTCAGCTGTTCCATGTACAATATGATTGCGCTGGTTTTTATTGTACAATCTCATTTTTCACCATTTGTTTACAATATACAAAATAGTATTCGATCCATTAAAAATACGTACAAAGAATTGTTTGTTGAAGACTCCATGTACAATCCATCTACTGCTTTTTTCCTTATCTCAGTCAAACAAAAGTCCTAACCGGTATCACTATTTGCTTAGTAGAAATAGTGGCTAAGAAACACCTCTTGGTATGATGAGATACTGGTGATTTAGGAGGCCTATGCGTGTTGGGACATACCATTCACTAAACTCCTAAGTTGCTTTACTACAGTCTCTATAAGCTTCTGCTTGTCACGGTCATTCTTCCTGAACTGAGCAAAAATGTTGTTCTTTTTGCTGGAGTCTTTCATTCTAGAGAAACAAAAAAGCAAATGACAAAAACATTAGTAAGACAATTTTAAAAGGGAAAATCCGACTATTTAAATCTGTTTACTACTGTTCCTCTTTTGATCTTTTACTGTTTACTATGGGTTCTTAAATTAAATTTCTGTAATGCAGTATTCGTTTTAACAAGTATTACTTTACAAATAACCAGTTAAGTAATAAGCAAATAGYCCTTCAGCAGGACTCCTGACCCTACCAATTGCCTTAGAAGTAAGTAAAAAAATCCGTTAGTATCATCTTGCTTCCGTGATACATTCAGACTCGGTGAATGGTGGGTTTTGTTCACGTCAAAAACGGGCATCTATATCGCTGATTTCCCATACTAACAGATTTAAAAACGAAATTCGGGAAATTAAGTAAGTTAAAGGAACAATATTTTGTAATAATATTGGAGATACGTACCCTCTGTGAACTCTGCAAAAGAGATTTCCATCGCAGGCAGGAGAGGAGAGAAAACACTGTTAGAAAGCGTCTTTAAACCGCAACGTGTTCTGATGCGGTTTTTACGGGCAGGTTGGTACTGGGCTGCCGGYAACGCGCCCTGCTCACCCTGCCCTCCCCAGCCCGCCCGCCAGACCGGCCGGAATTCTCGCACCGGCTTCACCACGGCCAAAGCCAGCGTTTCCCTTCCCCAGAGCGGCAATTCGGGCAGCCGCTGGCTGCTCCCGCGGCCCCGGCTCCACCGCCGGCCCGCGCGGCTCTCGGCACCGGGACTCCGGCGGCCGCCGCTCCTGCCAGGGCTCCTCCGGCTCCGGCCCCGGCGCCGCTTCGCATCCCCGCGCCGCCGGCTCCGGCCCCGGCCCCCGCACTTACTTCTCCAGGAGCGTGAGGGCCGTGCTGGGGTTGACCCGCAGGTACTTGGAGGTGGCCTGCCCGTAGTCAGCCAGGTAGGTGGACCAGTCCCACACCATGAAGAGGTCCAGGAGCTGCGGGKGGAGAGGGGGGTGAGGGAGAGCGGGGCGGCTTTGCGGAGAGAGGCCGGGCGCAGCCCCTCGCCGAGCCCAGCCGACACCCCCCTCCTTCACCTGCCCATTTGTTTCTTTCACGTCTCTCACTTCCCTCCGTGTTCAGGGAGGCGGCTGTGCAGATTCGGCCCCAGGAGGGGATGCTAATGGCTTCACGCTTTGGTGTTTGGGAACTTGCTTTACCGTGGGGGAGCAAGACAGGGATGCTCATGTCGGCTGCTTCCCACAGTAATTTAAACCAAAGGTTCAGGTAGTCTCAACTAAGTGAATTAAACACCTCCTGCTGCACTCTCCATTGTGACTGATCCCTGAAACTCAGTGCCAAGTCCCGGGCACACTTTGGCCCAAACAAACCCCAACACTTCAATGGAGGAACAAAAAGCCTCCAAGCACAGTCCTCTATGTCTGGCTGCAGTTTCGAATCAGGCCTTAGACGCATGATCTCAGAGCTGCTGTTCAACAAAACAGCCTGTTTTTACAGACGCAATACCGAACCTGCAGCAGCCAGCACCCTCACGGCCCTCAAAGCCTAATTTCCCCTCCAGCATCACGGGGTGCAAGCCAGGCACCGCTGGGCACCCTGCCCAGGCTGCCAGGGGCCAGGGCACAGGCAGCCCCGCTCGGGGATGCTTTTCCCACGGCTACCTGCGGCCCGGCGGGCCCCACTGCCTTTGACGTCAATAGTGGGGCGCCCCAGCTTCCCCCTGCGTCTGCTGCCTGCCCTTGTCCTGCTGCTCAGGGCTAACAAGGGCTTGTTCTCAGGCTGTCCCATGTTAGCCAAACCTACTGTTAAAACAAGCGTTGGGAACCATTAACAACACTTTGCCCCAGTGGAAAGTGCCCGTGCCTGCTCTGCTGAGCTGGGTCTTCTGTGTAAGCTAAAGCCCTGCTTGCCTGGAGACCTGCTGAATCAGTAATACTGGAAAGGTGGGCTGGAACAGGATTTTGTRTAACAGAACCACTTACAAAAATGTAACAGACTACTGCAAGTCACACCATTTTGCTATTTCGACTAAGAACCCTGTTCACTTCAAACATTTGCTTCTGCTAAGCCAAACCAGAGCTGTTAGAGCTGCGGCGCAACAGCAGCAACCTTTGCTCCCACAAGGCAGAGCTGCAGCAGGCGCATGCTTCTCTACTACAAGGAGGACTGCACCTCAGAGCACATTGCCTGATTCAAACTTCTCAGCCTGACAAACTGTCAGAGCTGTCCACTAATGCTCATACTTAAAAWCATAACACCAACTTATTTATAGAATAAAAGCGTACACCCTGTTTTCACAGCTTCAAATTTCTATGCCTCCTTTKTGCAWTTTTTTTCCATTTCCAAAACCACTTTCTTATGTTACTTTCAAATAAAGTGTCTAATTTAAATACATAATTTTCTAATTAATTACTCCTTCCTTATTTGTAGTGTAGCATTTTAGGACAAGGTAGCAACATTTCCTTGCATTATAATGGACCTATGACACWCCTACTGCTCTGTCATCCCAAGGACCTCCAGGGACCCTTACAAACCTCAGTGACATCTACATTTTAAATTTAACTATCTCACAGAGATGAAAGGATCTAAGACCCAGGAAGGCTATTTCATTTTCTGCTGACTAGATATCCATGACAACTACCAAGGTCAAATTCAAACAGTTTTTTTCCCACAAAGCCCTTTCTCAAGATGGACACCACCAATTTTACTGAACAGCAGAGAACATGCCTTTAGTCACTAAGCAATAAGTATCATTTGTGAAGCCAACAGCCTCAGCAGCTGCTCATCACTTGTTATYACCTGTGTTACACAATTAGTAGTGCCCAGTCCTCATAGATGTATTTTAAAGCACAATCAAAAGAATGGAAAGGTAGGACAGGCATATGCACAAGATAAGCTGTGAGGATAAAGCTGACAGGAATCCAAACTGTATAATCTGGTCATAATAACTTACTGCTACTTACTGTGCTACTTGTCATGGGCTTTACATGGGACATGATCCTTAAAGAGGGACCAATGTTCCCACAGCTGTGTTCAGGGAGTCAGAGGCAAATGATTTCATTTCTCATCCCCATTGTAACAATAAATTGAGGATTCTGGGTAAATCCGAAACAACCCTTAAGCTCATGTGGGTAAAAGGTATCTAAAGGTATCCTATTAGCAACGCATGGCCC